GTATGCGTCCATAGAGCTCTAAGGGTTGATTATTTACAAAAAACCAGACTCTCCGAAATTCTTCAAACGTTCATCCACGAAACAGAAAATTTAAGTCGCCGCAGCTTCTCGACCTCCATCTTCCGTCTCGATCATGTCCCCTGCATTTTTCCAAGGAAAAAGGGAACCGCGCACACGATTTGAATAAATCCAAATTCATGAGCCGCCGTGCACTTTCGAGAAAGAGTTTCCAGAAGATCCGCCAGCCTCCGTCAACGGTTCGAATCTTCCAAGGCCCGGAACTAATTACTCGGTCAGCGAGCGAGTTGACCAGCGACAATTCTCTCCACGATCCCGGGAGGGCCGTCGATTTATCGGCGTACCTCGGCTTCTTTAGCGGGCCCGCGGCTTTTTCGGGCGTGTTAACGCCGTTGCACATGCGTGCGGCACCGACGCAACCGAGAGAAGCACGTGTTCGACGCCGGCTAGGCTCGCGGTGACGCGCGTGCATCGGTGCACGCGTAACCAGGCCGAGAGCGATGCTTCTGCCGCTGCATCTCCCGCTGCAAGAAAGAAAAAGAGCAGGCCCGGTCACGCGTGCACGCCGCCTGAAAGTGCACCGGCGCGGCGGGCGCATTGTGGCGCAACCGCGCGAGCCGAGCTGTCTTTGTCCCGACGATGCGCCGAGGAAAATCGCGATTTCCGAAGATTCTCGGAACGCCGGGAATGTCGGGAATTCATGTTTCTGAAACCTGTCGGGCGTACTCGTAGATTTTCTGCTGTCTTGTCAGCTGTGTTCTGGTTCGCAAACTGCTCGCCTCGTAAGACGAGTTAATAGGGGACGTTCTTTTAACGCTGAACCGACCGAGTTGGACAAATTTAGTCAAAACGAGAATTTACAATTAGAGTGCTCTCTTACAATTGTCAGAACGCTTCTGTCATCCGCTGGTTTTACCTTTTGCCTGTGCGCACATTTTTGCGCGCAACTTGGAGCATTTGGAACGAGGGTTTTGTTGAGCTAAATGTGAGCTGTTTTGTTGAGCTTCCAGTTGTGCAGGATGTTGATTTGATCGCAAATGATAACCTTAACATTGTATCTTAAATCATCGTCATTAAGCACTTCGATTGGATTGTGAATGATAAATAGCGTCATTATCTAGAATACTTGCAGCTTCCGGTAAAGAACTTTAAAAAATAACTTAATCTGATGATTTAATCTGGACTTGTGTCTTAAAATAATAGTAATAATAATCACAGTAATTATTGACGTCATCCGGGAAACTCTTTCTTATTGCATAGCGTACAGTAAAAAATACGATATAAAAAGGATATAGAAAAAATTAAATGTCGAAATAAATAGATAAAAAAGGAGAAATAATGTACGTGATGCTACGATAATTTTAGCGGGACGTTTAAACGAAGCGTAGGAATTGTTGAAAAAGTCGAGAGTGTCGCAATTAACCGTTCGTAGCGAGAAACAATCAGATGATTCTAAAAAATATACAATCTATAAGCGAAATAAATGATGAAGTCATTATACTATGAATTAACTTAACTCCGTATTGTCTTAACATTAAGCCAACCGAATGGAGAAATTTCCTCGTTTTAAATGAAGTCGCTCGATCACCGAATGAGGAAATCTCCCAGTTTTACCTCAGCAACGCGTTTTCCTCCATTTATAAAACACAGCTTTAATTGAACTAACTGTTAACACTTTGACTGCCGCGTCAGCCATGCGTGGCTGACAGAACTGTTTAAAATTTAACGCAAAATCAACATTACGATCTCTTGATTTTATTAAGTGTTGCAAGAGACACGAATACTGAAGAAGCGATCGATGCCACCGCATTAGTTTGCTCTGCAATTTTCATTGAATTGAATAAAATACTCGAATTTCGTGAAATTTCTGGCGCGCTCGTGAAACTCTTAACCATAATTTTGGTCAGCGAACAATACGCATTGTTAACCCTTTGCACTCGAAGTCATTTTAACTGTAAATCTAAATTACTTTTTCTGACTTATGGTATTTCCATTTTATATGACAAAGTGCATTTTGTGCATATGAAATTTAGTCTTGTGACTCGTACAACGATTAGACTTTTAACAATCTTTTTACATCTAAGCTTTTATAATATAAAAATTATCTTGAAACGTGATATAACAATTTTTTGTAATGGTGCCTCAGAGTCACCACTCGAGTGCAAAGGGTTAACGCTCCTTGCTCCTCGCAATGGAGAAAATGTGACACGACGATTCTAATTCGCTCGAGCGGATCAGAAACGAAACCCAATGGTCGAAATTTCAAGGTTCGCCGAACCTCGGACGATTCGGGGCTCGAGATCGGTCGCATAGCGATCGGTCAGCCAGCCTCTCTGACCTCGCAACCTCTCAGCCTCCTCCGTTCGCAGCCACGAGATAATGCTTCCGACGTATATTCGCCTTAGACTTCTCATGTCCCGCCGCTCCGATCTTGGCCGATCGATAGAAAGAGGTATTACGACATTCGCGTACAACAATAATAATTCCACGCTCAATAATCGCGCTTAATTACTGCGCCTCATGTTGCGATTACGTAATCAGGTTCGCGACGCGGCTGGTTCGGCGCGGCGGCGGCGGCGGCTCCATTCACACGATTTAGATTTAGATTTGGTAATTTCTCGACGGAAATGAGTGGACCGGGGCTAGGCTGGGCCGGCTAAATGAACGACAGATGGAGTTCAGACGGGTCCCGAGGGTCGCCGGTAAGGAGACGACCTCCGCGGCAACACTTCGCTCTGTTCCGTCTATCCTTAAAATCCGTTTAGCGACCGGGAAGCAGGAGGACGATCTTCGATTTGTAGGAGGACGATCTTCGATTCGTAGGAGAGAAGCTGGGGAAACACGGTCCCCGTGTTAATTGTCTCCGTGATATCACGAGCCGCGGACGCGCGCGGAGCGCCCGTAACTCAAAGTCCTTGCTGCGGGCCGTTTGTCCACGGAAAATGATTTACAGCGGATTGTCGGCAGCGTGCCATTAACCGTGACATATGCTACCGTGAACCATCGCGCATTATGTATTGTAACGAGATTCCGCCGGTCGGACGCGGACACGCGATGCGAGGAATAGAAGCGCCCGCGGGCCGAGAGCGGCGCGCAACGCGACTTTGTTGCGACCGTTGCGCAAGAAGCGCGACACGAGGAAACAAAGTGCTCCTTATATACTGCGTAATTGATAGAAAAACAACAAAAACCGTCGTGGCATGCCTACGCGAAAGAAACTGTAGCAGCCTCCGGCGCTCCGTATGCAGATCCACCAGCGAGCAGCACGCTGAGAGATCCAAAGATGATCGCGGATGCGCACCGGTTGCCGCACGGTCTTCTGCGTCAACGAAATCGCGTAGATAACGTGCACTCGCATGTTCATGGGAAAGTCGTAGCGGAATCTGCTCTTTAGGAGTGCGAATAACTTTTTAGGGAATATGTTCTCGAAGTTTTGTGCTGGAGTCCGTTGGAAGGGTGAAGATATTACGTACAGTGCTGGACGAAAGCAGTGGCGCAAATGGATTGGACGGAATGTTTATGCTAATGGATTGTATATATACAGTAAATATACAGTATATATAGAGTAAATTTACAGTATATATAGAGTATATATATAGTAAATATACAGTATATATAGAGTATATATACAGTAAATATACGGTATATATAGAGTATATATTATAGTATATATTATAGTATAGTATATTATTATATAGTATATATTATAGTATATATTATAGCATATATTATAGTATATAGTATATATTATTATAGTATAGTATATATTATATATATAGAGTATATTTTAAGATATTATTTAATTGTTCGAAACTCAAGTTAATAGAAGAAGAAACGAATCCCCGTGCAGTTACACGAGTTTTGCAATTAATTCGGACAATTTTCAGTTTTCACGAACATTTTCTTGTTATTATGCATCGGCTAAAATCGACAGAGTTATACTGTAGACATTCCAACGAGACGAGTCAGTAAGCAACGAATGACACCACTAAAAATTGTCATATCACGTTCCAAGATAATTTGCGTATTACCAAATAGATTCATATTTAAAAAAAAAACTGTCGAAAGTGTTGTACGAGTCGCAAGACTCAATTTCACATGTTTAAAATAAACTACAAGTCATATAAAGTGGAAATACTGCAGGTCGGTCACTACTACCTCAAACAATTGCATGAAATTGAAGTATTTTATTTAATGAAATTGAAATTGAACACTTTAGTTGCGCGACATCAATTACATTTAGGTGGTTCCCATCTTTTAAGGGTCCTAATAAAATTGGAAATGCAGTAAATTCTCCCTAATTGACAGTTTGTACACAAAAATGGATAATTTGGGAAAGAAAAGTACTTTTATAGTTACCGATTGTCAACAACCGTAAAAACGGTCCGCAAAGCTTGAATAATCGTACCTCCTCTTCCCAAATTGTCCATTTTTGTTCCCACGCTGACAGTCAATTAGGGAGAATTTATTGTACCCAGGATGTCCCAAAATTATGGTATTTTCGAGAAATGAGGGATACCTGAGGTGATTTGAAGCAAGTTTTTCCTTTACAAAAATTTTTTCCGAGGCATCGTTAACGAATTATTCATAAAAAAACACTGACCAATGAGAGGCGAGTTCGCTCGGCGCTAGGCGACCGGGCCAATGAGCGGAACCGAGCTCCGTGCGCTCGGCCGCCGCACGCCAGCCAAGCTCGCCTCTCATTGGTCACAGTTTTTCGTTAATAACTCGTACACGAAGCCGCGGATTGCAATTTCGCTAAGGAGAAAGTTACTTCAAATGATCTCAGGAATCCCTCATTTCCCGGAAGTACCATAATATTAAAGACACCCTGTATAATAGAAAGTGTTAAGAAATAACATCGTTTCTCTGTTATTCCGCGACGGAAAATATGACGATAGCTATCATTATCAAATGATAGCGACGAGATTGTCAATGGGGTGCATCAAAGTCTGACCAGGCCTGTTCCGTTTCGCTTTCAGATTGAGGATGTCCTCAAAGAGGAAGTCACCACCAACGAAGCTATCGGAGGGCGGGGGCGGCACGGGTACAGTGGCAGGCGCCAACGAGGAGGAGGAGGACACGACCTCGTCGGTGACCGGTGGTCCCGGTGGCGAGATAGCCGTCGGCGAAGAGGATCCCAGCACCCCCGTCGGCATCGAGGAGTGCTATCCTCATCAGAGGGGAGGGGACTGCGAGTCCTCCGGCTGTTCGTCACCAGCGACGACCAGCGAGCCGGATCTCCGCGACTCGCCATCGCCCTCGTCGAACTCCCTGCGCACCAGCAAGCGGCAGAGGATCGTCCACGGACACCAGGACACCCTCGCCCCGTACCACTACCCTCACCACCACCACCACCATCATCATCATCACCATCACCACACGAACACATCGTCCTCGTCCGGTGGTGTCGTGGAACCAGCCAGCTCGTCCGAGTGCGGCTCGCCGCCCACACCGCTCACCGTCGACCCGTACTATCCCAGCCATCCTCATCATCACAATAACAACAACAACAACACCGTCACGCAAAACAATAACAATAACAACGGAGGCAGCAGCGCCACGCCCGGCAGCAAGAGATCCATGGACGACGTGCTCAAGAGGCTAACCTGCAAGATGAACAGCGAGTCGCTGTCCTTGCAGGATGACACCGCCAACAACAGGCGGATCAGCCCGCCGCCATCCTCCACCCCCACCGGACACAACACTCACTGGTTAGTTCAGACGATTCTGTTTTAACGGAGTTTCTTTCGATCACTGCTAGATTGCTGGCCTCGTCTTGTCGGTGCAAGCATAGAACGATCATAGTTTATCGAACTAGAAGCTAAACCTTGAAGTCGGACCTAGAAGCTAGACTTGGAAGCTAAAAGAATCTTTCATTTCCAAATTTATCGTACGTTCAGTCAGAACAAAAATTTTCCAATGATTTTAGAGAGGTCTCGACTTACTAGTAGCTTTCAATCTACAGAGTGTCCCAAGAATCTCTCGCAATCCGAAAGTAGCGGGTTCCTCGGGTCATTTGAAGCAACTCTTCCTTTACAAATATTTTCTCCGAGGCACTGTTAACGAGTTATCAACGAAAAACAGTGACCAATGAGAGGCGAGCTCGGCTGGCGCGAGGGGACCGAGCCAATGAGCGGAACTGGGCTTCGCGCGCTGGGCCGCCTCGCGGCAGCCGTACTCGATTCTTATTGGTCACTGTTTTTCGTTAATATCTCGTTAACGGTGCCTCGGAGAACATTTTTGTAAAGGAAAAAGTTGCTTCAAATGATCCGAGGAATCCGTCATTTCCGGATTGCGAGACATTTTTGGGACACCCTGTATAACAGGAATCCAATTTTATCGATGTTCGATCCTTTTTGATGAAACTAGATCTTCTTCAAGACCGACAGTCTTTTGGAAATCAAGAATTTAGTGTGTCAATTGTTTATTTCGACTCATTGTTAACGTCTCTCATTCCTGGTTTCATGGAAAACGATTGCTGGACGGAGTTATAACATTTTAAAGAATACATCCAAAATTGATCTCAAGACTATTCTTAGAGCGCGGATTTTATGCATTTATGAAAAGAATGAGTCCGTGCAGCTTAAAACAGTGGAAAGATTGAAAGAAGCTAAGAATGTTGATTAATCTGAACTTACTTGAAATATTACGGAATCGAGAAGAATTGTGCTTAGCTCCGATGTTCTACAATCGATGCGGATGATTTTTTTTACTTTGCATAGAAATCCGCGGTTTAGTTGTCCTTTGCACAGATTTCAATGTACAGCAATGTCTCTTTAATTGACGCTTAGATTGTCCACAAAAATGGACAATTTGGGAAGAGAAGATACGATTATTCGAGCCTTGTGGCTCGTTTTCTATGGTTATCGATTGTCAACAATTATAGAAACGAGCCGCAAGGCTCGAAAAATCATGTCTCCTCTTCCCAAATTGTTAATTTTTCTGCACAACCTGAGCGTCAGTTTGAGAGACATTACTGTATTCGATTGAAATGGAACATTGGTATTTGAAACGGAATCATAATATTTCTCGTTCGTCGAATACGCAGAAACGCAGAGCGATCAAGAATTCTTCGTTTCTCTGTTTCTTAATTAAAAATATAAGGAGTGCTGTCGATCGAGAATTACCAGAGAGAACCGAGTGTCAGCTAACGAGACAGCCAGTTTCCTGCATTATCGTTTCGTCCTGATGCAAATGCACAGTCCCGCGTGTAACACGTGACAAAATCGAGAACGCAAGCCTCACCTGCGCGTCGCTCGGCGTCGTTTACGTAACCCATCCCCTTTTAATTAGCCGACATTGTGCTCCATCGAAGCCGTGGCATCTCCACGATGTGTCGCAATCGTCCCGGTCTTAATCTGGCCCGTTGTCTTCCCGGCGCTATCGCGCACCCGATACTTTACATAACTGGTAAATATAGTCGAAAAAAAAACTGAAAGTCTCGGCCCACGTCGTATCGTCGGCGACGATTATCGCCTAACGGCCCGAGAGAAATTGGTTTCGTGGTCTTTCCACGATCTATTCTTAGACGAACCACTTCGCGGACAATTCCGGAGTCGCGAAAAGATTTCTTTGCCTGTTGTGTGCCCGTCTTCGACCATCATCCTGTGAACTTTTGCTATCCTGAAATAACGAGAACGTTCCGCAGTCGTAGCCGCGTGTGTTTTTCTCCGGGGAACAAAAGAGTATCTTATTTTTCCATCACCCCGTATAACGTTTATCTTCGTATGTTATTCTTCGGTCCAATAGTATCATCTTCGTCATGCATCGGCGTTTTTATCGCTGCTGGACGATAGAAAGTGGAAGACCAGATGTTTATCCTCGTCGAGTCTCGCTTTATTTTACGTCAGGCGGCCGCCGGTTCTTCGAATCGTTTTAGCTAATTTCGATCGCGAATTCGTCATTCGTTGTTACTCGCCGGAAATGAATTCTAAGCTTTGTTGGCTCTGTGACTGACGATTCGTTTAGCTGTATTTAATCTCGGCGGAATCAGATTCGTTTACAGATGCTTGTAAAGTTAGGAACGAAGCATAATTGAGGTCCAATCAGAATGCAGAGAGAAAATCAGCGAGGACAATTACGGGAGGACTTTTTGTTGTTTTCGGAGGTTCGAAATTAACCTGAGCGGAGCTAAGTATTGCCAACTGTACAATCAGAGTTCGGCAAAAAGTAATCTGATTAACGATTATAAATCGTTATAATTTATAAAAATTGGGAGAAAGGTTATCCAATTAATTATCAACGATTAGAACTCGTTATGTATTATAAATTATTACAAATTACTTATAATAAGTAACGAGTGATAATCGTCAATCATTGATCGGATTACTTTTGGCTCAACTCTGTGTACAATGGCGCGGGTACTTTAAAAACTCTGGAAACATCTGCGAACTTTCGAATTCGATAAATTCGATGATACCACAAAGCGTTCCGAGTGAATACACTCTGCGTTGGTATCGTTTCGAGAAATTGAGACCGTAATAATTTCGGTGATACCGTCGCGTTTACAGCGACGATCTTTCGTCGCCTCCCAGTTGCAGATGGGAGCTTCCTTGGAGAAGAACGTCGGCCCCGGTTTTTGGTCCCGCGAATGGCCCACAAAAGCGTCCATTGTTCGGGGGGGAACGACAAGATCCACAGATTCCACGTCGTAAACCGAGTCTTCGTTACCGAACATCCATCCGAAATACAAAGCGACCGGGCGAAAAGGAAGTCGGAAGACGGGAGAGGGCCGGGCAAAAAAACAAGGGGGCCACAGTCGGCCCGAAAATATCTGACTTCTCGGCTCGAGACAAAGAAACACGTCTCGGGAGGCGATAAGGCGATCCGATGCGACCGAAAAATGGTCGATGAAATATCGGCCGTAACCGCCCATAATTCTATCTATAGATCATATTATATCTGTGTCTCTTCTAAACAACATCGCGTGAAACCTATTCTCTGGTAATCTTCGATTTCGAGGTCGCCGGCGAAGTCGCGATGTTTAATTCGCAAAGCAGATTGCCTGAATTCGTGTGTCGCTTGCAAAAGTTACTTAATATTTCCAATTCTTTTCAAATATTGTCCAAACCTTTTTTTCATGGGGATCTTTTTCGGTAGACTTCGAGCTAGGAGTCGGTACCGGCCGCCATCTTTAATTCGCGATAAAGCGGCACTGTCCGAACCAGAATGGATAAAATAGAACAGGAAAAAATCGTAACAGCAGTTGTCTGCAAAAACTGTTTCGGTCCTCATCATTTGCTCTCACGGAATACTAAAATCTTCCAAAGAATTAATTTCCATTAGATTTCAAGCTTGTGGTCGACCTTGAAGTCGTCGCCTTTAATTCGCAGTTGCAGCCTTCGAGTGAGACAAAGAACACGAGATTTCGTAGAAAATTCTCCGCTCGTTCAAGATTATTATCGAACGATATTAGAAACTTTCGAATGACGAACATTCATTATTCTTCGAATTGGCAGCCATCGTTGACCGCCGTTTCCAATTCACGAGGCCTATCCCCCGGACTAGGATAAATAAGATAAAGCACGATTCAATGTTGCATCAACGCGTTATTGATTCGAAAACATGGCTCGTATACGCGACGTGAAAATTCGATCGCCAGCGACAACAATGAATATTCATCGGAGTTCTAATTGTTTAGAGAAATCTTGCGTTTAGGGGCGTTGGAAACGAGAGGGGAGAGAGTAGGATCGTTTCTTCTCGCACACACCGACACCGACAGCTCTAAAAACCATTCGTAAGAAGTTAAACCGGTCGAAGTTATCGCCAGTGTGCCTCGGCGTCTGTGTAAGTTATCGTAACGAACGATTAGTCTATATTCAACGATATCGCACGGTCACGTAATAATAATTGCCGCATGTAATCAGGTCCGTCAATGAATTGATTCTTTGTATCGGGACGACGCGACGGCGATGTCGAGGTTTTTCCGTTCCCACTGTGCACACACAATGTACAAAGTCGAGAATACAGAGTAAAGATTATCCCGCACGTGGCTAATTACGGGTAGCCGGAGATTCCGCGCCGATTTCGAGGCGCGTTCCACGTACAATCCGATGCAACAAATAAAGATGCGATTGTCGCAGACAATCGATTTCATTGATTCCTGCGGCCTGTACCTTTCCAGTGAATCTTTCCGCTGCGCTGTTACTACGGAGACGACAATTTCGCTTGAATAATTCCTGTTTTATGGTCTACGGACGTTCGACTGTTAGCTTTTATCATTCTGCTTTGTCAACTTGCGGTTCAGGTTGCTGCTCGATTCCTAAAATGTCAATTTTCTGAATCCGAATTTTCCGAATAATGCACAAATGCTACGCAATTGCTAGTTTCTTTTACAAGTCGATCTTTAAACGATACCTCGACGAGTCTTCCTAAAATTTCGCAGTAACCGACTGTTTCTCCCTAACCGACGCTCAGATTGTGCACAAAAATGGATAATTTGGGAAGAGGAGACGCGATTATTCGAGCCTTGCGGTTCGTTTTTATTGTTACGAATTGTCAACAATTATAAAAACTACGGACGTTCGACTGTTAGATTTTATCATTCTGCTTTGTCAACTTGCGGTTCAGGTTGCTGCTCGATTCCTAAAATGTCAATTTTCTGAATCCGAATTTTCCGAATAATGCACCAATGCTACGCAATTGCTAGTTTCTTTTACAAGTCGATCTTTAAACGATACCTCGACGAGTCTTCCTAAAATTTCCCAGTACA